GTCTATTCCAGCACCCAAATGTCGTCATTTGCGTGCTGGAATAAGTCGTTCGCGGTAATGTAATTTTAGTGACGGACTTTCTTCACACTTCATTTTCAAATGTGAAAATAAGAATAATTTTTATTTTTACAGCCGCCTAAAATTATTCCATACATAAATGTTGCCAACCGTCGCAGAATTCTCTAGAAAAAAAATTTAATTTTCGTTTTTTAATTTATAAAATGATATAAAGCGACGAAATAGAAAAAATAGTATAAAGCACTTGGTGCAGAAGGTTTTTCGAGCACTCATTAGTTCTTCAACTCGCCGCTTCGCGGCTCGTTTCGGAATTTCAAATTTGTGCTTGAATAGATTACCTTCTGCAACTTGTACTTTAATATACTATTTTATTTTAGAATACAATTTTCAAAATTCTTAATACATAAAATAAGTATGCGGCATTAGAACYATAGTATAGTACACGACCAATACCTTCTACAAGTACAATTCAAAACTACGTAKATAAATGTTATAAATCTGCAAATATTTCTACAGAATCTAGTCCTAGAGGTGGTATGCAGTAACATGTTTTGCTATTAAATGAAACAAAATATTCAAAAAGGATAATGTTTTTGTAGGAAATAGACAAATAGATGATCGCCAGGAAGAAAATGTTTTGGCAATAGTAAATGGGTATCTCACACACAGTTTGAGACAAATATCTCTTCCAGCAGGTTTATCCAAGTCGCGGATATGGGAGATACTCTTAAAATGCATTGTCATCAAGAAATTTTTGCTGTTGATGAAGAAAGTAGAAGGGCATTTTGTTATGAAAACCTTTTCTTCATTAAAGTAATTATTCATTTTTATGTTAATTTAATTCCCGGTATAATATTTTTTTGTTTACGCTCGTGTTTCGTTTTTATCGTTACAAATTTAAACAGGTGATAGAATATTCAATTTTAAGATAAAAGTTTTCTGTGAACATGTTTAAAGAAATAATATAATATAAGGGAGTTACATCTTTTAATGGAGTTTTTTCCATATTTCAGAAACCATTGTAGATAAAATTGCAAAATGATACAATTGTTAACCTTTACGAGTATACGATCAAACGAATTCAAAGATAAAATGTCAAAATTTTTGCCCAGGGTCGTTCTAATCTGTTTAGGGTAAAAAGTACCCTAACTATTTTGGTTGTTGGTTCTTGCCACTTTCAGCCTCAAAATTCTAAATTCCATAGTTTTTCACAAAAAAGGCCTTTTGCGTTTTTTCGATACAACTTACTGTTTTTGAGAAAAATCATTTTACAATTTTCCTTACCATAAAGAAG